TTTTACCAATCATGATGTCCTTCTTTGGGGACTGGCCCCTCCTGGTGATTTGTCCTCAGTGTATGAAATGAAATCTCACCATCCTCACTTCTAAGGAACATGCTAGCTGTACCTATGCCAACACAGATGCGTCTGTTCTTCTGGCAGCCTATGGTATATTTAATGTTCTTCACCAGCAGCAAGAATTCATTCATTAATATGAACAAATAGTTGTTGAGTTCTACTGTAAAACAGACAACATTTTAAGTACTTAGGATACACCAGTGAACAAAACAGATAAAAATCCATTTCTTGTTTGTTTTGTTTGTTTTTAAATCATTTTATCGGGGGCTTGTACAACTCATCACCATCCACACATACATCCATTGTGTCAAGTACATTTGTACATTTGTTGCCATCATCATTCTCAAAACATTTGCTTTCTACTTGAACCCTTGGTATCAGCTCCTCATTTTCCTCTCCCTCCCCGCACCTCCCATGAACTCTTCATAATTTATAAATTATTATTATTTTAACATGTCTTATACTGTCTGACGTCTCCCTTCACCCACTTTTCTGTTGTCTGTCCCCCAGGGAGGGGATTATATGTAGATCCTTATGATCGGTTCCCCCTTTCTACCCCACCTTCCCTCCACCCTCCCGGTATCACCACTCTCACCACTGAAAAATCCATTTTTTGGCAGAACTGAAATTTTAAGTGAAGAGCAAGGGGTAGGGGATAGGTAATAAATGATAAACAGAATAAATGGGTAAATTATGTGGTTTGATATAAGGTGATGCCAAACCAGACCCATTACTGTCAAGTCGATGCTTACTCGTGGCAATCCCATCAGGGTTTCTTGGCTATCATCTTGTATGGAAGCAGGCTGTCAGGCTTCTGTGGTTCTTGGGGGTCAGCCAACTGTTAGGTTAGTTGCTCAGTGTAAGCCACCCTAAGAAAGTGTTAAGTGCTAAGGAGAAAAAGACCAGGGTAGGAGGGTCAAGATGTCAGGTGGATGCGGGCAAGATGTAATCTCAATCCAGTAATCGGGGTGAGCCATATGGAGTGGATGGGATTGAGCACTTGAACTCAATAAAGGAACAGTGTTCTGGCAGAAGAACCAGAGCCAAGGGCTTAAAGAAGAGTACTGGATGCCTGACAAATAGTAAGGAGGCTGCGGTGAGCAGAGTCAAGCGGAATGACAGAAAGAATAAGACAGGAGGTCAGAGTTGTAGAAGAACAGATCATTGAAAGGGCTTGGGGAGACATTTCAGTTTTAGCCATTGATTAACGTTTGAAAAGAACTACTCTAGCTGCTGTATTGAAGACAGACTGATGAGAAGGTGAGGATGGAGGCAAGGTGACACATTGGGAGTAACCTATGTCCCGATGACCGGGATGACTTGGATCAGAGAGGCTGGTGGTGATGGAAGTGGCAGGAAGTGATCCGATTCTCAGGATATACCGAAGGTAGAAGAACCAACCAGAGTTTGAAGGAAGGACTGACAGGATTAAATGTGGAATATGAGCCTGAGAGAGGATGGTTTTAAAATACTGGAAAATGTTAACAATTAGGAAATTCTGGGTGAAAGGAATACAAGAATTCTTTGTATAATTCGTGCAAGTTTTATATAACTGAGAAGTTGTTTACAAATTTAAAAGTTAGGACATTCAGTGGACACAAATGTATGAAAAGATGCACTAAAGAAATGCCATTTCAGTAGGATGGCTAAGGTTAAAAAATAATACATATTGGTAAGAATGTGAAGAAAGGGGTACCCTTATCTATTGCTCAGAGGAATACAAAAGGGTCCAGCCGTTGTGGAAAACCGTGTGGCCGTCCCTCATAAAACTAAAAACAGCACTATCACATGACCAGTCATTCTGCTCCTAGTGCATTTTCCCCAAAGACTTGAAAACAGAAACTCAAGCAGAGACTTGTAAAACACTGTTTACTCCAGCACTATTCTCAGGAGCCAAAAGGTGGAAACAATTTAAATGCCCATCAACAGATGAATGAATGAACAAAATGTGGTATACACACACACACACACAATCATCCTTTGGTTTTCACAGGAGATTAAGTCCAGGACTGAGGATGTTCAAGGCCCTTATTTGAAATGGTTCATTATTTGCATGTAGCCTACTCCTGTGTACTTTAAGTTATCTCTAGATTACTTATAATACCGATTTCAACGTAAATGCTATGTAAATAGGACTTAGTGCTGCCTCTTAGCATTTGAGAGATTGCTTTTTCTAGTTAAGTGCTTCTTTTCTATTTTTGCCCCAAATATTTTTAATTCACTATTGGTTGAGCCCCCAGCTATACAGCCCATGGATACACAGGAATGACCATGCATTGGAACACTATGCAGTCAGTAGAATAAGTGAAATCTTGGTACATGCTATGATGTGAATTGAGTCAAAAGACATCAGGATGAGTGAAATAAGTCAATCACACAAAGACAATTATAGTTTGCCTCTTTATATGAAAAGCAAGAAAAGGTAAATAGAGAGATGACAAAAATTATTAGTGGTTACCAGGGGCAGGAGGGTTGGGGTCCGGGGATTAACAGTAGTAGAAATATTGTTTTGATTAAGCATAGGATTGCACAGCCAATTTTTGTAATGTCTGACAACAGGGAAAACCTGTAAATTAGCAAAATGTATATCATAGCTGTATTTACAATGACACAAAAAAGTAGCCTCCCACTCTTTGGTGCTCACCCTCCTGGCACAATCACTGAAGACAAAATGGGTACATAAGCAAAT